GAATCACACAAAGGACTAGGGAAGTATACTACAGCAACTAAAATACTTAAAATAAAAGTCCACAAGCTATAGTGAAATTGCATTTTTCCCAGCACTCCCTTAAATGGACATAACTGAAATGCTTTTATAGCTTACAGCAAATATATAAGTTAAGAAAATAAAACTTTTTATTTCTATGTTTTCAAATGATCTCCCAGTGTCATGATGATTTTAAAATATTTACTTCATGGAAGACCACATTTGCTCCTTTCTCATTCCATTTATTCCAATTATTATCTTAAAATGTCAAGCTTTAGATTATGTGTTTAGCTAATAAGCAAACAATACCTATTGTATGTCCTAATCATATTCCTAACTTAATTCACAGGAGTATAATGAGATAATATTTTGACATATTTTCTAGTAACTTAATTTTAATTTGAAATTTTTATAACAGCACATTTATCAGCCTATCTTTTACCTGCACAGATTCATGTAAAACTATAAAAAGTTATCCACAAAACAAATCAGAAACACATATTTAAAATAATGATGATTTTACCTGTAACTGTTGAATTGTCAGAACCAATTCCTGTAATAATCATAAATTACTATTATTAATGCAAAATCATGAAGAAATTTAAACTCAAGCTGCTTATGGGTTATGTCTTTTGTATCTCACTCTTTACATTTTCTAGTACACAAAAGAGTAGTTCGTGTGTTCTTTAGAAGCTCATAGGATTTATTTTTAAGATGTGTCGCTCATGAGCGATTCTTCCATTGTTTAATTCTATCTGTATCAACCGTCACTTGCCACTCCACCATTTATTCAACTATTTTGGCTGATGTCTCACTCCCTTAATCCCCAGAACCTACAAACAGGCAGGGCACACATGCAACAGAACTGCCCACGTGCCGGTGTTCACAGTGACTTGGCAGCATGGATTTGAGCTGACCTGACATCAACAAATACACTGCAATGGAATGAATGGCCTCGACTCACTGAGGGGCAGTGGGAAGCATTAAGTACCTATTCTGTTGTTGATGAACTGAAAAGATCCCAGACCCTTATATCTAATCCAGTGATGGCGAACCTATGACACGCGTGTCAGAGGTGACATGCAAACTCATTTTTTTGGTTGGTTTTTCTTTGTTAAATGGCATTTAAATATATAAAATAAATATCAATTACAGTAAAATGCAAGGACTCACCACTGCACGCCAACTCTCCTGCGATGCAATAGCTGAAAGTTAATGTTTAAAAAATAAGAATGAGATTGAAATTTTAACTCCTAGCGACATTCATCTTCAAAATGTAAAACAACAAATTGTCTAACAGTGAAAATCAAAACAGGAGCAAATAAGAGAACAGTCAATCATTGTTTCCCCAAGAGCGTGCTAGTGATTCAAATTGCTTGGTTTTTTGGTGTTGTTTTTTCCCCTGAATACTGTTATTGCTAATCATTTCCCTAAGGAGTTCTTGGGACCTAAAAGAATGCTTTACACTCAAGCTGTAGTTAGTTCTCCCACTTTCAGTTTCAAACATGCTGTGGCTGCTCTAGCATGGACGCTACCTCTTTGCTTCCATGTCCCTGTCTGAAAGGCTATCGACATGATCTTACATTTACAGAATCAAAACTTTTTTTTACCTAAAACTACATAGTATCATTTTTGTCTGATCTTCTTATATTCAGTATAAGATTTAACCATTTGCTGATATGTGGGTTTACTGAAAATACAAAATAACTAACTTCACTGATGTAACACTAAAGCTGGACTTTTTATTTAGAAATGAGTTAAAAATTACATGCATGTATTTTTTTCTTGGTTTCTTTTCTCAATTAAAATGCAAGAAACAGAAAGGTAGGAGAGAATGTACCATGTTCTCCCACAGTTGTCTTGGATCACTCCACCTGCTGGTATGACATCATTGTAGAAGCAGCTGCACTCGGATAACCTGACGCATTTCATGGTGTTCTCATCCAGGTAAGGAGCACTTTCCGGGCACTTAGCATAACAACCTGTGTGTGAAAATGACCCACCATTGGTCTCTATGTACCGAAACTGATCACAATGCATTACAGAGTTGTAAAGTTACTTAAATGATTCCATGAACTAAAGTAGATAATAGCAAAATGACAACACATTCTTAAGAATGACAATGGGCAATGGGATTGTAGCACTGGATCTTCTCTCTCTCTCTCTCTCTCTCTTTCTCTCTCTCTCTCTCTCTTTCTCTCTCTCTCTCTCTCTCTCTCTCATTAAACAGATAATTTACATCCTGAGAAAATGTTTTCAATGTGGAAATATTAATGTCATAATAAAGATAAACTAATCATTAAATTACAAAATGTAGGACACTAAATTGTCAGGAGCTAACAACAATTTCAAGTTTTTGGGTTTTTTAAATATATTTTATTTACTTCAGAGAGGAAGGGGAAGGGAGGGAGAGAGAGCTAGAAATATTAACAATTAGGGAAAATCATTGATCAACTGCTTCCTGCATCTCCCCTATTGGTGATTGAGCCTGCAACCCAGGTGTATGCCCTGACCAGGAATCGAACCATGACCTCCTGGTTCCTAGGTCAACAATCAACCAGAGCCACACCGGCCGTGCATCCAATTTTAAAATCCTATATAATAAAAGTGTAATATGCAGATAGGCCAAATGGTGAATGTGTGGTGGCTATGATGTGCACTGACAACTAAGGGGCAGACGCTCAATGCAGGAGCTGCCCCCTGGTGGTCTGTGTGCTCCCACAGGGAAGACATCGCTCATCCAGAAGCCAGGCTCACAGCTGGGGAGGGCAAAGCAGGGGTGGGAGCCTCTCCTGCCTGCCTCCACTACAGGCGGGCAGTAAGGAGCGAGGGGTTCCACACTGTGAGAGCCCCAGACTGTGAGAGGGATGTCTGACTGCCGGCTTAGACCCGATCCCTAAGAGGATCGGGCCTAAGCCAGCAGGTGGACATCCCCCAAGGGGTCTCAGACTGCAAGAGGACACAGGCCGGGCTAAGGGACCCTGCCCCCCCCCCCCCCCCCGACCGCCCCTGCCCCCCCCCCCCGCCAGTGCACTAATCTTGTGCACCAGGCCTCTAGTATCAATAAAATTTGCATTACTTCATGGATATTATTAAAATTCACCTTACCTTCTAAAAGTGCAGAAAATTTCTGGCCAATAACTCGATCTTTGCATGTTTTTGCAGTCACCGTCCCGCAAGGCTCATAATGCCAGCTGCATTCTCCAGGGGCATTATAATAATCACAGTAGACAGCTGTAACCAAATTATAGCCAATTATTCCTCTGGTTAGGTAACAACTTTCACTTTCATTTCCCCAAGTATTTTTAAAAAGGAATTTGAATGATATTACAATAAGCAGAACTAAAGTATGCCATTATGTCTTATCAATTTCCTTTGTATTTATCCAAATTGTTATATAAGCCCAAATAGCTCACCAAAAAAAAAAGCGTATAGAATCAAAATAACACTTTTCTTTAATGAATAGCATTCATGTTGATTTGAGGTGGAAAAGTAATATTAATTTTCCCATTTTTAGGTAATTTAGGTCATAGTCTAGATTTGCAGTTTTAATATTCAAATTTAAATCAGAAAAATAAATCTCTGCAAAAATTAAGCTTTTTAAAATATGTAAATAGCAGTTCCCAAATGAGGTAACTAAAGATTTCAATATAACATAAGCTGAGCATCATAAACTGAATAAAACGATGATTCAATTTTAACATTGCTCATTTGTCATATTTTCTCATAGTACCTTCCTTAAAAAGGAAGAGTTGACTGATTCCTATTACAGTTACCACTTTCCATATATGTCACGATTCATTTTACATTTATCTTACAGTTTATCTTGACTAGGGCTCTATAACAGTTTTTATGATAATGAGTGAGGACTTTAACCAATAGTGATATATGACGTGAGTTCTTAAGGATTTGTGACTGTAACAGGTTATATAAACAGTTTTTTGTTCATCTAAGTTTTAATGAGATCTTTTCCATCAGTATTCAATTTCCCCCCTGTAAAACCAAGAACTTCTGCAAGTAAAATTGAATTTAATGTGGTATGCTAGGTGTTATGCTTGTTTAAAATAGTATTTTTTTCCATCGTGACTTATTAATATGTTTTTAAACCTTAGTACAAGATTTTATATAGATAGATATAAATAATATAGAGAGTTTATATATAATCTATAGTATATAGACAGAAAATGTGAGAATGATTACTTAACAAAACAATTCTGCCTAATTACGTTGTTAAAGAACAATTTATGGGCTCCACTTACGACAGAGGTCGGGCTTCCTCCACGCCACGCAGACCCCAACCGCGCTGCACGCCTCCGCATACATGGCCACAGCCGTGCAGAATCCCAGGTACTTGCCCTCCATGTCGCAGGCGCAGGCTTCCTCGATGCACGCGTCGTAGTAAGTGCTGGGGTCCACCTGCAGCGGAGGACAGAGCGTGAGTGTCTGGGCGCGGGAGCGGTGCGCGGCGCGGGCAGGCCCTCGCCCTCAGAGCCCGGCTACCTTGCTGTGGCACTCCCTGAAGGTGCTGTCCCGGATGATCTCGCATTTCCGCACAGCCCAGGCTTTGCAGTAGGGGTTGGAGTCACACGGGAAAGTCTGAGTTACGGTGTCTGAACATTCTTGAGACGTCTTCCAGCTATTTCCGAACTCCAGTGCTCCGGTAGCTACTGAGGAGTACCGCGTTGTGAAATCATCCTTGAGATCGCCGTTGCTGTTTCCACAAAGACCACACACTTTGCCCTAGCCACATCAGAAAGGAAAATGAGTAAGTTGTTAGGGATATAGACATATAGGTGTGTAATATATATATATGGAGATGAGATCAGAAAGGAAAATTAAAAGTGAGTTTTACTAGTTCTATGCATAGAGCTAGATAGGTAATGATATATATTATAATCATTAATCTATTTTAAAATTTAAATTTTGAAAGGAAACCAGAGTTTGTGGATAAGATTCTGGTCCATTTAATTCAAGAAATTCTATATTGTAAAGTGATCTAGTATCAAATAAGATAAATGCCTTAAGACTTAAAACATTATTATATTCACTAGCTTCTAAATTTTCGTGAGAATCCCCTTAGGTTCTTAGAATATTTGCTCTCAGGAATACATCCAATTCTATATATATACCAACTACTTCAAAATGGAATTTATGCAATAATCTCACATAGCCATATGTGGTTAAACTAGAGGGCCTCAGGTGTATTGCATTTATTTTTCACCAGATTCAATCATCTTTGATTATGGTTTGTATTGCATGCAGATTGCGTATAGGTGGAGAGCTTGTTCTATAACAGAGACTACCCTCCTCCCACTTTCTATCTACAAAGATGTGTATCATTCTCAGTAACAGAAATAATTTTGCTTCCCAATTAATTACTTATTAGTGATGTACATACATTCCAGTATGGCTCCAATATAACAGTCATTCTTGTGTTTTTGTCCCAAATCACGGTTATTCCAGAGACAAATTTCAGAATCAGGTATAGGCCAACGGTATGCACAGTGTACGCATTTCCATTGAGTTCACACTCCTTACTTTCTGTCGTTTTGATGGCTGTTACCTTACCATCTTGCAAGATAACATTCTGATCCTGAAAATAAAAACATATACTTACAATTAAACCCATTTTATTTGGCCAATCGTAATCTGAGGGGAGAAGTAAGTAAAGAGAAATGGCTCTGTACCTGAAAAGCAACTATGATTTTTCTCGAGCACGTGAGCCCGTCTTCACAGCAAGGGACGCTTTCAGTTAAAATGCGGAATGTGCCATTTTCACTGCCACAATAATCCTTTAAAAATCAAATTATAATACGTTTATGAACATCAGGGATGTGGAACTCAATTTCAACATTTGTATCAGACAAATATCTCACTCAGTGACACCTGAAACTCAGTAAATTACCATAAGCTGGTAATTTATTATGGGATGTTATGGAATTCCCACAAGACAGTGGTCGCCTTGGCTGAGTGCAAACTAGTCACCTCGCTTTGACTCAACCCTTTCCCATTTCTTCTCTACAGGTTTAGAATTATATCATAGATATGTAAGTATTTAAATTACATAAGTTTGTAATCATAAGTTTATTTCTGGATGCTGTAAACAGCTAAAGGTATGTTTTTTTCTCAGTGATTTATATGAAACTTACTATTCAATCAAAACTAATAAATACCAACAATTACATTTCGCCCATTAGATGTTACTGAGGAAGGAGCTTAGTTGTATGTAACGAACTCTGGAATCAATCAGATCAGATTTGAATATGGCATTGTCTACTTAGCAATTTACATTGCTTATGCTCTCTGACCTTCATGTCTTCGGCTGAATCATAGGAACACCATCACATCAGTCTCTTAGTGTCACAATGATTAAATGAATAAAATACAGAAATTTGCTTGGCAGAGAAGCAATCATAAAATGCTGTTGTAGCACATAGTGCTGTTCTTAAAACAATAATAATATCTAACATTAAATAAGAAGTTAGTATGTGCTCCAGTATTTTTTCCAATTTCTTTTCAAGTAAGAACTACTTCCATCCCCGTGTTATTGATAAGAGACACAGAAAGGTGAAGGGAGGTGCCCAAAGCCACACATGTGAGAAACGGTAGAGCCGGGCTTCAAATCCAGGTGGCCTGCCTTCAGAGTCAGCGTTCCTTTGTTACAGTTTATTGCCTTTGAGAAACATGTAAGGGGCATTTAAAATATTTTTTCACATTTTCAGAGTAAAATTATCCAGAGCTTATATACAAAAAATAATAAGAAATATAGAAAAACTGTGGAAAAACACTTGCAGTTACCTCAACAAATGAATACTGGCAGAGCCCATCAAAGCTGTAACTTTTTCTGTCAAAAGTTTGAACGTGACCTTCCCCATAGATGTGGCAGGTACTTTGACATTCATTTTGTGTGCAGTTCCAAGATCCTTTCATGCAAGTACTAAAAGGAAGCAATGATAGAGGGCACACCAGTTATATTACTCCAAGATGTCTATGTGCATACTGTTTTTGTATAAAAGCGCTAAACAGTTTTCGTATGGATTTAAATTTTGTAATTGTCTTCATTACATTTAACGATGTCCATCATATATGATGGTATATAAAGTTCTATTTAAAGATATAGCATTTTTTCTAAATACATTTGACCATTATTTTTGAAATATCCCAGAGTATGACTTTTCCTTTCCCATAAAAATAAGGGCAGACATCACACTTCCTAATATCCAAAAAATAAAATAGCAATCCTTAGGCACCATTGGTTGCAGCCAACTGAGGTGACACTTCCTTGGCTATACTCTCGTCCACCAAAAGAGCAAGGGCAGTCATCAGGAAAGACACAGTTCCCTTTAGAATCTCGAACCATTCCTACTGGACAGTAGCACCCACGTTTGCAAGGTGAGTTCTCCTACAGGAATAAGTACAAAGTATACATCATAAGGCACTGCTCTCAGCACATCACATTATCAGCATTAACGTACAATACATTAATATACCAGGCATGCATTTAGTGTCGACTTGGGACAAGTCAAAATAACAAGCAATAAATAATGTGACCTTCTCATTATTTTTTTATCTGCATTTTAGTTCCTTCTTGCCCCGAAACAATGAAAAGTTTTAAAGAGCTAAACTCTGATGCCATGTTACTTACCTCAAAATTAGGTATGTTCCGAGTACTGCATGTACTGTCAACTCTTCTCTGTGCCTTGGGATCGCTGCAGTCAACATATTCAGCCCCTCCAGAGCAATTCTCTGCAGGAGAAAGGAAGGGATTAACCAAGGGCCTCTTGATCTGTTTATTTTAACCAAAATAGGTATCGTAAGCCTTCACCATGATGTCAACACTTACGGTGGGTTAAATCAATGGGAGTCTGGCAAAGAAGAATTCCATCCCGACAGACACTGGAAAGACAAGAAAATGATGCATTTAAACATCGAATTTCAATAACAAAATCTTAATACACTGTTACAATAACTTTAACCCCTCATCTATGCACCACCTGTTTTAGCGCAAGTAGTAGTCTGAATGAGATACAGTCCTCAGAAAATGCAGATGAACCAAAATATAAGATATAGGCTTGAATGTGTGATAGGAATGTACAAACAAAGTTGTATGGACGTCAAAGAAAGTTTGATTCTCCCAAGAGTTAGTACCCTCCTTACTCTGTGAGTCCCAGACAACGTTCATTCATCTTTGCATCGGCTGCAGTAAGCACAAGGCCTGGCACACAGTAAATATACATTTGATGTGTTTGTTGAATGGTGAAAAAACTGACTAGGAAATCATTTCTACATTGTTTGCAGGTAGGAGCTGCTAAAATATTCTTCTACTGGTATTTAAAACCAAACAACAGTAAGATAGATTAGTTACAGCCATGATGATGCAATGAACACTCCTTGGTGTTCAATAAAGGGTGTCAATAACCAAGCTTCCTCAGAAAGAGAAAATAAAAGATGTGACAGGTCTAAAGAAGACATCATGCTAGCAAAAGACTATTTCCGTGAAAACGACAATCCCTGCATTTCAAAGTGATAACAAATAAATATGTGATCTCCATACCATTTATTGTCATCAATCTCGATGAGTTTGCCTGGTTTTATGACCTCGTCATTCATGTAGCACTCACACTGGGACTTTGAAACACAATTTCCTTCGTTATCCTTGTACATCCCATCAGGGCAAGTGCATCCATCTACCGGAACGTCCTCTACATCACAGCTCCTATCCCTCTCTGACAGGGATCGGCAAGAACTGTTGCAGGCTTTTACATTGTACTTGAAAACTAGGCCACTTGGACAAGCGTGATCTGTAGGGATAGAGTAAATATGTACATATTCAGAAAAATTAGCAACTTTACTTCAACTTGATGTTTATAGATATTATAGTAAATTTAGGAAATTGTTCATAATTGATTTTTTAATATATTTTTATTGACTACAGAGAGGAAGGGAGAGGGAGAGAGAGCTAGAAACATCAGTGATGAGAGAGAATCATTGATTGGCTTCCTCTTGCATGCCCCCTTTTGGGGATCGAGTCTGCAACCCGGCATGTGCGGGCTCATGACCTCCTGGTTCATAGGTCCACACTCAACCACTGAGCCACACTGACTGGGCCATAATTGAGATTATTTTTAAAAATCAAAAAAACGTACTCATTCATTGTTTATTTCCCCCCTGCCCCCCCCCCCCCCAGTTAATATTGAGTCCCTACTATATGTTTATATGTTTTGCTGCTGGGGGAAGTACACTTTCCTTACGTGCTGTGTGCAGCAGGGAACCTGCTCTTGGTGAAGAGGAGGGACAGCGTGAAAGCAGCCCAGAGAAAGTTAATTCTATGTGCGGGCAACAGCCTAAGTTAGAAGAGGAGGAGATTCTTGTAAAGAGCACGTGAAAGAATAAAAGCTCTGCGCCCAGACCCCGAGTCGGCAGGTGGAACCCGCAGGCCCTCTTAGGCAGTGTGGCGTTTCAGAGCCATGACCAGCCCCTGCCCTGTGTTAGACCGAGTGCCACACAACCGGGTTGGCTTTATTGGATTGCTCAAAGATAAAATATTTCATATATATACATATGTATACATATAGACACAAAGATATACATGTATATACACATATATAACACTATGTGTGTGTGTGTGTGTGTATATATACACACGTGCAATACAATTGAGGAACAGAAATGTGCACTATTAATATTTTTAAATTGTTATTGTTTTCCTTGGTATAACCCCCCAAAAGTGTAAATGCAGTATCAGGACGATAAAGATTTTCATAGTTCCTACTGCCTAATGTCACTGACTTCCAAAATGTCACACTAGTGCCTGAAGCTCTTCCTCCCCTACCCAGGACCGGGGGAGACATTGTTTTAAACCACACTTCTTGGCAACTAAACATCTGTTGTTTATCAGAAACAGAAAATTCCCTTTGATAGATTCTCTCTCTCTCTCTCTCTTAAAATCGAGAAGGAAGAATTATCTGAAGCCTTCATCCTTCTTACCACATCGTCCAGTTCTCCATTCCACTATGTATGTTTCCTTCTCAGCACACGCTTTCACATAGTTGCCTAAAATTGTGCACAGACATTCTTGACCATCTTCACAACTGCAAGTGTATTTTTTGCATTCCTTTAAAATAAAAACAAATTTATATTACATTAT